AGATAGATAGATAGATAGATAGATAGATAGATAGATAGATAGATAGATAGATAGATAGATAGATAGATATGACTTTATGGATGTCACAATTTTGGTATTAACTATAAAGATACATTCTTAATCACTAAGTCATTATTTTTGCTGATCCCCCTTTTTATCTTATGTTCAGTAGACTAACACCAGAATGTATTTTATTTGTTTTTTTGGGGGGACATTTTAAACAAGTTACTCACAGATTGAGGATATGGCAAAAAATGTCATCCCAGGTTTTATATTCTGTACACACCAATCTCTGACTTGATCACAAAATAGACTATGATTATTCTGTGTGTGTATCTGTGTAGGGAGGTTATTGTATAATACACACGAGATGATTTTCTGACTCATTACTATTCTTCTCAGCTGAAGGGCTGCTGTCAGTCTTACATTTATGGTTAACTATATTGCATAAACAGAAAAGACAATTAGTTGTGAATTAGAAAGCAAGGGGCCTTGTACGTGTTACACACAACTTTCCAAAGTTGTGTACTTCGGTGGCCATCTTGAATGGAATTCATTCCAAAAGATAATCAACTATAGATGCACATCCAATGGTTACTTTTCTGCTGGTTCAATAAAATCTGTTAAATGGTTCATGAGATACTTTGCTAACAAACAAAGTTGACTCAATCAGATGTGACGTGCTTGGCATTTATGTTAGGAATGACTCTCAGCTACTACCACGTTAAATGTTAGCTCATTTAAAAAAGACTTGGTTACTGTCATTTCAGTGATTTCTAAAGATGATTAGCTGTAGTACCCATCTTGAATTGGGTAAATATACATGGACTGATTTCTTTCTGAAAGTTTGATTCAAACTTGTAATCAATGTGATACTTTGCTGAATTTCAGACAAAGACACGTCTTTAGCGGTCGGTGATGAAATGTAGCCAAAAACTAGATTAAATTCAGGCATATAACCATCGGTAATAACGGTTATGTTTGTGGTCACGAGTCCTGAATGAAAGGAAGATAATAAATATGAGATTTAAAGAAGCAATTTAATGTCAGAATTTGTTGCAGATTCTAATTTAAGCCCAGTTATTACTGACATTAAGTCCATGCTGTAGTTTTGTTGTTGTTAGAATTGTTCTTTCAAAGCAGTCAACAAATCTATTTTATTGATGTTAAAGAACTGCTCTGAACAGAACAGAGAGCCCGGACGTAATCATATAATTTATTGGGCTTTCCAAAGAAATTCAACAGTGAAAATTAATTGATAATCCCAGACATGACATAAAAAGCTGGAGCGTAGGATCTTTTCTTCACTCTGCTGTGAAAACCTTTCGTGCTSTGTCTGCACTTATCTGGCAAAGTTTATTCTGTGAAGTGATTGTATAAAGAAACTGTTACTGCCCTGTTCCTGTTCTGTTCTGGGCAAGAGCTTTTACAATGAGGTGAAGAGGGAAGACTGGCAGAATCTCCACAAAGGACAGGAAATATTAAAGAATTTGTCTTGTCTTTGGTGCAGACATAAGGAAATTAGATGTCTTGTTCAGAGGAGAATTATTTGCCTTTCCGTCGTTGCAGTTTTGCCTTCATGCTACGCCTCTGCCTGTCCTTTTGACCCGCTCTTTGCTTCACATTTACATTTCACGCTCCTAGCTGACTGTCTCTAAATCTCACTCTCATACCTGTCGCTCAAAGGCTTCATCAAAGCAGATGCGGAGGTTGGCGCAGTTTGTCTAATTTGCCAGCTCATTTCCACCACTCACTTTGAAGAAGGCTGCCTTTCTTAAGGAGAAGGAGCTTCCCATTAAAAGTTTATTTAGCAGAAGCCAGAGGAATGATTAAAATTCTGCTCTGGCCAAATAGGATGAGGAGAATTACTGCAAGTGAGTGATAAGACCCTGGTGTGTTCTTTTGTGTGTGTTTGTGTGTCAGTGTCTCCCCTGAGGGCATCAGCAAATGCAATATTACTGTAAGTGTACAATATGAAGCGTAATAAAGTTAGCACATCAGAAGCCTGCAAATTACACTTCACACAGGTCCTTTTTCTGTGTTTCTTTTCAGAGCAGACCAGTGTTATCCTCCAGCATCTCCCCTCCCCTCAGTATTCTGACCCTCTGACACCTGGTAAGTACACTCACATTCACCTCCCACATCCATTATAGAGGCTTTAAGTGTATTTAAGTCCTTTTTTATGTAATCATTAGCTCACTGTCTGGCTAGAGCTACAAATTGGTGTAAAAAAACTGAATTTCTGGTTACGGTGCATGGAAAAACWTTGTCAGTCTGCAGAGTTTATTAAAGCATGTAACAACGTAGTAGTAAGAGTAGTAAAATTGATAAAATATTAACGATACCCATCCCTAAAGATGATGCATCCAAAATATAATTTACCCTTTATTCTAGTTTATTTAGTAATTTGGAAAATAATTCCCTTTCCTTTACGTATTGTTGACTCTAACTGTTAAAACATGATACTATAGCGTATTCCATACTTGTAATGTTGCTTTTCATAATTGAGAGACGTGTTCAGCTGCTTGTATCCGTTAATATTAAACAGACATTTCAGCCAGTTGCTCTTGCATGCACTCAGGGAAACATCAGCACAAACTAGCTTTAATGTATAATTCCTGCTATCTGTTATTGCCAATTACAGGGCTTGTTTAGTAGAACCAAGGGAGTTGGTGGATCTGTTTTTAATAGTGTGTGTGTGWGAGTCTGTGTTTGTGGGCTTTTAATGATGGGGGTTGTTGGCCCTTATTTAGGGACACATGTTCTTTGGTAATGCCTTGGGGGATGATTGGACTGGGTGGGTCCCCGTGAGTCCCTGTGTTGCTATAAATACACACTGGGATCCCATTTGGAGGATTAATTTGAGAGTACGTCTTCATGATGCTGCAGCCAGGCGAACTAGAGGCCACTGGCCAGCAGGGTTTCTATGGGGACCAGGGGCATCAGAGAGGAGCGTGACATCTGTGCGCTGTTTTGTTTGTCAGGACAGGTCTTCCTTTCTCACTCTTTTTTTTTTTTTCTCTGTTTGCCAAGTACTCAAAACATCACTTTCTCTGCCAGGAAGCAAATAACGTTGACTGAGGCTGTAAAGCCTCATAAAAAAACAATGTCTGTCATCATTAGTCTTTCAAACATACATAAACATGGAAAACTGGTAACACTGCAGCTGCCTTGCTCAATCATGCTCAGAGTAGACCCTAAGGGTGTCAGTCAGTAGGAGTCCAGGGACTCTTTTTACTTGGTTTACACCAAAAAGCTCACATTTTGGGGAAGCATTTAACCCTTGGCCCTTCTTGCTCCCTGTCTCCACTGCTCTCCTCTCTATATGGACATGTTCTATTTCCACAGCTCCTTTCCGCTGGCTGCCTWATCCTCAGCTCAACAGGGCACACATGTTCTTTTGATAGGTACTTATTTGGGCAATGGGAAAACTCCTGTAATTTTGAGCCTCCTCCACTTTCCCCTTTTGGTGTCCTGCCGTCCAGATCAAACCTAAGCCCTTCTTGGTGTTACTAATTTTCTCAGTCTCTGAAACCTTTTTGGATAAACAAGAGACTGGTTGGGGTGCTACATCCAAGACAAACGTGTTATATGTGGCACAGCTCTCCCTCATCCTTGGTTTTCAATAATTTTGAGCATTTTGATCCCCTGAAAATCTCTGGCTCCATATGGTGCAGTTCAGTAGAAGCCAGCACAAATGATCTTTCCTGCTCCCTAAGGACTTCAAGAAGCATAAGATAAATCATTCTCCCAGCTCAACCAGCATTGTGTGTGTATATATATATACATATATACTGAATTGTTTTGCCCATATTTGGGTACACCTGGTCTTTAAGAGCCTTCAGTGGTGCATGTGTAACCGGGTAAAACAAACCTTTGACCTCCTAATCCGGTCTAAATGAGAATGTCATAGCACAGCAGTACACAGAGGTGCATAGTCCTGCCTGGATGATGTAACGTAGTCATTTTCAAATATTTTGGTATTTTCACTCTGCAGGCATCCCTTTGCAAAGGACAGTTACCTAACTCCATCCAGAAATGAACACTTTATCAGTTTGCCCTACCTCTCCCTTCACTATCTAGAGCAAAATTTGTATCCATTAATTCTAAGATTAGACTAAGTCTGGAGTTAAAATGTGTTTGTGTCCTCACAAACAAATCCCCACTATGCCTCCTCAGGGTTGACTGCTTCTGCCCAGTAAACAAATATTATAGTAATATTTTTACTGTTTCTTCCAGTGACATGTTATTTGTCTTTTTATTCTTCATCACCACCATTTAAAATCACTATCAGATGCTTTTCTCTCTCCAGTACCAGTGGTCCAGTTGACTTTTTATTATTGTCTGATTATCATCTCCACATTATCCCCTCTTTTTAACATGTTCTTTTATTGATTTTTTGACAGCTATAGTTGCAAGCTTGATTGTTTTAGCTAAATTATCAACATTTTTATAAAGTATTTTATGCATTTATATTTTCTTGACTATGTTTGTAACATCTTGTCTCCACTTCAGCCATTAATCTGCTAGTAAAATGTTCTTGTAGCAACTTTGTCCATATTTGTTCCCTTATGGGATCTTTTCTGTTCTGTTACACAAAAATAGATAAGAAGAGACTGGCCTCAGGTTCAGTTTAAGTTTGGACGCTTTGCTTTATCATTTTCAGGGCTCCCCTTGACTGAGAGCTTTATTTAAAAAAATCATAAATATTCAATCAGAAGCAGTGTTTTAACTATTCTCAGTCAATCTGTGAATACTTGAAATTGTCCTACCTTTCCATTCTGGGATGGAAAATTAGAGCTGCTATTTTAATTTAATTTTAATTTAACCTTTATTTATCCAGGTAAACTGTTTGAGAGCAACTTCTCATTTACAACCATGACCTGGCCAAGAGGTTGCATGAATGAATAAAAGCATACAATATATACAACATTGAGCATACCACAAACATTAAAAGAAATAAATGTAGAAAGTAGAAAAAGAAAAGAAAAAACAAAATGCAAAGTCTGAAGTTTTAGCATTTCGTAAGACAGTTTCAGTGTGTTATTTAATAAACTCAGTGTGATTAGATCATCAGATAACTTGTGTTAAGGCTCTGGCAATATACATTGCAAATTAAAAATAAATTGCAATTTATAAGTTTCAGTGAGACAGAGAGACGGAAACCCACATCTCCATACATGCAACAGTGTTACTAGAACAGTAAATCCTACTTAATCTGAATACGTAACGTTTCACATTAGAAATCAATCAGGTAATTGAGTCGAGAAAGGACAAACTGAATGTCCATGCTGCTCTTTGTGAAGACGTAAAAGTGTAAATAAAAGATGAACTGTTTGTAATGGACTCAGTTCACTTAAGCTAGTTGTGAGCTAACCAATCATTGTAAAGTTTAATAAGATATTCAGGTTGATGTAAGATTGTTGATGTCAGTTGCACCATAAACCAAAAATGGACTTCACATCATTTTGATAAAAATATTTCCCAGATAGTATTTTTAACTGTGATTTAAAAAAAATTCTGTTAAAATTAAAAGGAAATTTTTGTTCTGGGTAACTCATACTGTTTCTTCTATTCATACCCCTAATTTATCATACAGTTAATGTTCTTACTGATGCTTTTTTGTGCATAAATTATCAGTCAGCCAGTTTYCAGCCCAGGCTTAAGTTAATTATGTAACCTACGAAAGAGAAGCCTCGAGTGAGCACAGAGATCTTCAACTATAAAAGGAAAAGAGGATGATGGAAGAGGACCATTTGGCTTGGAAAAACACATTCCTTCCCTCAGAGGAATAATATTTCTTGATAGTCCCAGAGAAATTATTGCGGAATTTTGTGGGGTACATACAGCTGAGCTGATGCATATATCAGCTAATTGACTAAAAATCGTACCTGTGTTATTTAATTATTACTTGAAATGCTGTGACAGAAAAAAACTTGGTCTTTATTTATACATTTTTCACTTGTAAATGCGTATAAATGTAGAAGTACTTTGTTATTTGACTCATTAAATGGTTTGTCACCAAGAGTCATTTGGAAAATAGTAGTCACATTCAGAAATCGTGACCTGTACTAGATTTTCTGTTTTCTTTTGTTCATTAATTACATAAAAGCTGTTCACATCAAAGTAGCTGTATCAGTTGGTGATACTGAACTCTTGCTGATCATATTTTGTAAAAGTTTGAAAACATTTTCTTAAGCCCTCTTTCAGTAAAGAAATAGTCTCTGCTTTTGATAAAGCTGACGTTAAACTCTGTAGGAGGTCATCAAAAGGGATTCTGGAGGTATTGTATAGCTTGAGCTCAGGTAGGATGGATTCCCTTAAGACCATTTTCTTATTCAAGAAAAAACACCAGTGATATTAATTTCATAATGTAGCAGCACAATGGTTTAGTGGTTCACACTGATACCTCACAGCAAGAAGGTCCTGGGTTCGATTCCTGATTCAGATCTGGGGTCTCTATGTGTGGAGTTTACATGATCTGTTTGTGTTTGCATGTTTTCTCTGTTCACTCCGGTTTCCTCCCACCATATAAAAATGTGCATGTATTGTCTTCAGGCTCATGCCTCCCTTGCAAAAGATAGCAATGATCTCAATGGGATTTTCCTAGTTAAATATTAGTTAAAATAATTTCATGTTTCTAAAGTGAGCATGACAAAGTCCATACAGTTCTGCATTTTTCAAATACAAAACAAAGACATGTGGAACTTAAATCATAATGGTGTAATCCTTTTTATTTATTTCACGTTTTCACAACAAAACCACTTGCTCAGGCTAATTGCCAGCGTGTGGGGTGGGTCCTAAAAATGACAATATAAAGTATGTAGTGCCTCATTTATTAACCATCATGTCAGATAACACAAATCAGGTTAAAACATAGGTTTAGGTTAGGGATGTCCCAATACAACTTTTTCACTTCCGATACGATACCAATATTGCAACTTTGAGAATTGTCCGATACCGATATTGACCGATACCGATACTGACCCGTTACCAAAACAGTACAAGTCACACACTTTTGCCTATTTTGTTGTGTAAAATCTTAGAAAAATCTTGATCAAGTCAACCAGTGAAAAAGTAGGTATGAGAAAAACTGACCCATTTATTTTTAACCA